TCTAGATGTGTATAAGATGTGTGTGTGTGTGCGCGTGCGTGTGTGTGTGTGTGTGTGTGTGTTGTCATATTCGCTATACACTCAAAACAAGCATTACTGTTTCATCGGACTTTCACCGACTCATCACTGTGTGTGTTGTTTTAAAACACCCCAGATTCTCTCTCTCATTCCCTTCACAAATCATCACAAGTCACCCATAACGAAATTTTTTAGATAGGCAATATTATAGAAAATGAAGGTTGGCCATGTTTGTGTGGTTCAGCGCCAAGTGTGTGTGTCTGTGTGTGTTTCAAAGATCCCCGGATTCTCTCTCTCATTCCAATCACAAATCATCACAAACCATCCATAAAACAAAAAAGGTATAGATAGGCAATATATTAGAAGATGCAAGGTTGCCCACGTTTTTGTGGTTGAGCGGCAATGTGTGTGTGTGCCCCAGCCTCGCCCTTCCTTCCCCCCCACCAGAGTATGTGGCACTGCATTCTGGAGACTGACAAAGACTGACAGCTGGTTGCCACTGGTCGTCATCTATCAGTCATGGGAGCGGCCAATGCATGGCAGTGCAGGTTTGCAACCAACAGCCCAAAGTGATCATAGATGAGCTGCCACAGAAGCAGAGTGATAATCATTACGCCATGCTCTCAGTTCACATATTTCGCAAAGGTTTCCCACCAACAGTGCTGGCATCCTATGTTGGAGTGCCCAGCACCTAGGGCATCTGTTGCATAAGGTGACAATAAGAGGCTTGCAGATGCAGCGCTTACCGTAGGCCACTTTTGAGGCCAATTTGGGGTCCCTCTGAGGCCAGTCTGAAGCGCATTGAGCCCCACAGCCCATTTTGAGGCCCACCCTGATGCCATTTTGAGGCCATCTAGAGACTGTGTGAATAGGATGAAGAGGTTGACTACGATAATAGCCCCTCCAAGGAGTGATTCTGGTCTGCACGACCAGCCAGGTTTTGTGTGTATCGCAAACCGCTGGTACATGGCCCCAGCCTTGTGGAGAATTGTTTGTCACCTACCTACTCCGAAAAAGTCGGAGACGGCGAGCCGTCGATAAATGTATCAGTGGCGCGCGTCACGTTTCGGCCTCTGAACAGGGGCCCGCAGCCGATTATGGCATGTACTGGTGGTTTAAAGACAGCTCCTAGCTGTGGAAATTGGGAGACAGTGTGAACAACAATTCACATTGTCAAATACAAGTGCATCGATGTCGGTCAGTTCCACAAGGTGTAAGACTACGGCTAAAAGGGAAGCCATTGCATTGTCCGCACATGTATGCAATGCTTTAAACCGCCAGTACAACGGCCCCAGCCATGCAAGATTTCTTCAAAAGAAATAAAAAATTAAAGATTTCTTCAAAAGAAATAAAAAATTAAAAAAGGTTGTGCAGGCTGAGGTATAGGCAGGCCCTACCCTGGCGGCCAGTGCTTTAATCACACTCCCACGACACACCCAGGGCAGAGCGGGGTCATTCCAAGCCGGGAGACTCCCAATGGTACCCAGTCGCTCAGTAACCCCCCTCCCTCTCCCGACTGTGTACGTAGTAAGGATAGCCAGCAGGACGCTCTACGGGCGGGAGGCGGGACCCCCCATACAACATCTACACAGCCTTGCGACCGTCCCTTGGGGTACCCCACCAGGGATGTGAATGCACTGGAGGCCAGTATCGCAGAATCCTAGCGCGGGATCTTTTACTGCGTGCCAAGGCACCCGCCCGAGCCAACCAGGACTCGATCCCCCTGCCTGTGTCTCGAAACACAGGAACCTGTATAACACAGGCGCCCGGCCAATTGGGCTACTGCCATTCACGCCTTGCAAGATTTCTTCATCACCTACTCCTGAAATTTTGGAGGCTCGCAGCTATTGGACCACAACGGCTGGTGGCACCAGACAACAAAGAGAAAAAGTGCGCCGTTGACAGTTCTGCAAAGCTTGGCGCACAGTGCAGCACCGCCAGGCCCAGGTGTACTGGTGGTTTAAGGTTGCACAAGCCCCTTAAGCCTACTGCCTCTACCTCTTTTCGAAAGCAACTCAACGTGGTTGTTGGAAGCGCGAAAAGGAGAGACCCACGGTTGACTGGTTGCTTATTTTCAACCATAGGATGGTGGCCCTGAAAGCAGCGAGAGTACAAAGAACTACACACCGTTAACCATGAAGTAGATGTACTCAGCATACACACATACATGTCAAGCAAACGAAGAGGAGAGAGCTAGGAGAAGAGAAATAGGAGCAGAAAAATTAGGCGGAAAGAAATCCCACATCGGCAGCGAGGAAGTAGAGGATGGCAGCACAAGCCAGCGCCAATGCCGGGTCTTCCAGTGGCAAAGTGACAACAGAGTCTAGCAACGGTCTCGCCAACCTGCAAAAGAGTACCACGACAACAACAGTGACATCCAGAACAAGCAAAGGGCAACGATGACTAACTGCAAACAACGGCAGCGAAAAAAGGAAACAAGAAAGAAAGCAACAGACGGACAACAAAAGATCAAACGAATCAGAGGAAGGAGCAGGCAAATCTCTTTTCCCATTCAGCACATAGTTTTCCGACAGACCAGAGCATTTTAATGTTGAGAAAGAAAAAGAAACAAAAAGTCGCACAAATGTCCGCTCAGCAAGGTACGGTCAAAATGTTCTAGAGCGATTCAGAAACCGAAGTGTGTGACCACAAACGTGGATGAGCAGATGCACAGGTGTGATTTGTTCTGAGCTGGCCAGTTTTCACCTTTCAAACACACAACGGCTGTTCCCATTTTTAGCTATAAAATTTAGTGGA